CCCCCCCCCCATGTTTCATCATATAGCTTCAGTCTCCCTACTCAAGGCTCAAACAGTGTTTTACCCTAAGCTCCTGATCTGTATTACTTGCAGTGCTGAGGGAAGGGGCCCAAAGGCTTCCAAACTAAACAACCCTGGCCTGGCCAACAGGAGGCCTGGGGCATAGACCCATTTCCCTGGTGTGTGATGAGGGAGCTGGACTGGGTCAGGAGGAAGATATCTATCAGTTGCCTTCAGGGCCTGGCAGGTGACGTACTAGGAAGCCAGGTGTGACAGTGGGCCCTAAGGGTGTGGAGCATGGATGTCACACCCAAAGACTTCTGAATTATCTTCAAAGCACTGCACCACTTGACTTTCCTCAACAGTCCCTCTCATTGCTGCCTTTCTGTAAATGACCTCCACATTTTATGATTAAATAAAGGTGAATGCAAAGCATGTCCACCCCACAGAGGAGTATTTGTGTTGCTTTAAGTTCCCCTCTGCGGAGGGGAGGGCAGAAAGCTTGAAACTCGTGCTCTGGGGGTGAAGTCTCAGTCAGGAGTGTTCATGAGCCCAAAGCAGCACGTTAGTGACCTCTTCTCTTTCCCCTGTCCAGCCCTACAGAAAGGCTGCCCCAGCTCAGAGTGGCCCAGGAGCTGTCATCCACCCCTCCCTGCTGGCCAGTGAGCAGTGCCCTAGAGCCACCATGCTAGTTGGGGCCTGCATTACCATAACTGAAGGACATTGTCCTCAGCCAAAATTTAAAAAGGCAGTCAAGGAGAAAACCACATCACTTATTTGGATCAGTGTGGCCCCTTGGTGACTCCCAGCGAGAATTAATGCCAGTGAGACTCGTCTATCTGAGCTCTAATGATCTGCAACCATCAAATAGCCCTGGTTCTGAAAATGTACTTACTGCATAAAACAGAAAGGTTGGCTCACACCTCCCGCGATATTTTTCGAGGGCGTCAAGACAGTCTGCCTCCGCCTAAAGAAAACAAGCTGTGAGCAGGACCCTGGGCACAGCAGGAACAGGGGCTTGATGGCAAGAGAACCACGCAGGACAGTCCACACACACACCACATATCACACACACCCCCATACCACATATTACACACCGTACTATGTATCACACACACTATACCACATATCACACACACATATCACACACACACACACCATACATAATACACCATACCATGTATCACACACAAATACACACACCATACCACATATCACACACACATCACACACACATACCACATCATATATCACACACACATACCACATCATATATCACACATACATACCACATAACTCATACAGACACCACACATACACCACACCATACCACATATCACACACTCACATATATCACACACACCACATATCACACACACACACACCATACCACGCCACACATAATACACCATACCATGTATCACACACATATACACACACCATACCACATATCACACACACTCACATATCACACACACACCACACATCACACACACACACCCCCTGACTGCCCTCCGCAGGTGAAGCCCTGACTCGCTTTCATGCTTCTCCTGTAGTTTTTTCATCAGAATCGTAGCAACTGCCCTGTGAACATATTGGCAAAAACTGTTGGCAGTAAACCTTTTGGAGGAATAAAACGAGGGGAAACAACGGTTTCTCCTGCTCTCCACCCGGCTACTCCTCCAGCACGAGGAAGCTTGCTGTCTAAATCCTGCTGCTGCCACGACTGGCGACCTCAGAGGTGGGAGGTCCTCCGACTGCCCGCGGAGCCTGAGAAACCTGCCCGTGGGCACAGCGGCCCTGTCCAGGCTCACCCCGCACGCCCCGCACGCGCGTCCAGACCCACTGCCCAGGGAGGGAGGCGCGCAAAGGCCTTTAGTTACACCTGCTGAGGGCTCAGGGTAAAGCACACTGTCTCCCGTGTTCAGTCTATGAACCTCAACCCACGAGTGCCTCCTGCACACTTCTCTGGAGTTTATTCCCATTTCCATACAGTCATCCAAGTAAACGTTTGCAGGAAGTTCCCCTTTATGAAGCAGAGGATGGAAATCTTGAAAGCCTGCGCTCTGAAAGTGAAACTCCAGAGCTCACAGTGTTTGTGAGCCAAGAGGGAGCTCACCTGTTGGAGTGACACGTATTCCGTCCCCGCAGGCGGCATGCGGACTGCCCGAGCCCAGTGACTCTCAGTGAGGGGAGGGTGGGGGGCCTTCATCCCCAGAGAAACGGGGAAGCATCATGACTGATAAGAAGCCCACAGCGGGTGCCTTTTCAATGATACGAATACGGGAGCTCACACTTCCTGTTCCTGCTTGTAAGCGTTTAATTCTCCTTACTATGTGTGTGACATTCTGCCGACAGGCTCTCACCAGTGCAAAGTGCAGCAGGTCCAGGCCAACCATGATCCTCATCTTCTGGAAGAGGCTCACCACGGGCTTGCAGGGCCCGCACCAGCCCTGATAGACATCGACAACTGCACGGAACCGAGAAGCGGGAGGCTCGGTGAGCACCGGCTCCACCATGTCAGGCAAGAGTCACACTCGCACATGCTACCCCCTCAGACGGATGTCTGTTTGCAGGGACATTAATGGCTATAGGTGCTTATTATTCCATCAGAGTATGAGCAAGCGTGGAAACACAGCTCTCTCTCATCCTCAGCAACTCAGTGTTCTGAATTCTAAACATCACGAAGAAAGTAGGGTGGGAAATCCTTTACTTAACATGGACCCTTTACCATAAGGGCTTTCCAGGCTATGTTCAGACCTAGCCCAGAGTGGCCTCAATAAATATTTGAATTGGACTGAAAACCATTTATTTTATAAGGAAGAAGCCACTGTGGGTGACCTGTCAGCATACAATCGAGTCTAAGCTACTTTGACAATAAACACAGCTTTGACCTTTCCCCTGATGAATTACAAATGACTTGCTTTGGGTAAAGGAGAGTTTTACTTACTTTATAAAGTCAACACTGTTCTCCTAGAAAGTGAATCTGATAGAGACCTAGGTGGACACTTGGATACCACGGTCTTCTTTGGCCCCAGTCTGTGCAGCCTGCCAGGGTTGGGTGTGAGGGAACCTCTCTTCTGCCTGCACTTGACCACGAGGCCTGTTACCCAACAGTACTGACTAGTTTCCTGAACAGAACTCACCAACAGATGTTCAGGCCAGATCTACATATACAAAGAAATACCTGGTTCTTCATTCATGAAGCTCAAGGTTACAGGAAAATGGTGGCCATTGCAGCTCTTCTCTTCATGGTAAATCTGTCACTTAGCAATTTTTAAAAGGATGGATCTCAACAATTATCTTAAATTACCAGTTAGTCCTTTGGAACTGAGCATTTCCTCCCAAAGCTCCTGAGTGCTGATGTTGACCTAACATCAAAGAGGAACAAATACTGTATTACCGAGGGCACTGATGGGGAGACACTGGTATATTTGCTCTAGATTCTCTCTCTTTCTCTCATTACTGTAGCTTTACAGTAAGTCTTGGAATCAGGCAGTGTGAGGCCTCCATATTTTTTCTTTTTCAAGATTACATTGGCTTTTCTAGGTCCTTTGCATTTCCATAAACATTTTAGGACCAACTTGACAATTTCTGAAAAAACTCCTGCAGAGATTTTAATTGAGATTGCATTGATTCTATGGATCAGTTTAGGAAACAATTGAACTATTTACAACCTTGAGTCTTCCAGTCCACGAACATGATGTTTCTCATTATTTATTAAATCTTCCTTAATTTTCTCAGCCATTGACTGAAATTAGTTGGAGCTGGAGTATACATTTTGCACATCTTTTGTTAAATGTATTTGAACATCCACATAAAAAATGATTGACAATTGAGTTTATTGCCATTTCTTCACCATTTTCCTCTTATATATGAAGTATTCTGGCTTACATCAAAAATTAAATACAAGGAGAAATGCATATTATACCTTTATAAATAGTTACATTTGTGTATAATGTTTTTATTTTGAAACAGCTTCAAACTTACCGAAAATTTGCAGGTACAATATAAAGAACTTTTTCTTCTTGAATTATTTGAAAATAAATCACCAACCTAATATCCCATTATTCCTGAATACATTATCCTATGTAACCACAATACAGCCATCAAAATTCTTAGACTGTAGTCCAAGGGTTACTATCTAATCCTTAGATTGCATTCAAGTTTTACCGATCCTCCCAATAAGTCCTGATAGCAAAAGTTCTAATCAGAATCACGTGCCCTCTTTAGTCTCCTTCAATCTGGAATCAGTGCTTTAGTTTTTTATTTTCCTGACCTTGACACTTTTAAAGACTGAATCCTGGTTATTTTGTAGAAGCCTCCTCAGGTTCGCTGTGTCTGGTATTTCCTCCTGATTACAGTCAGGCTCTGCATCTTTGGATTGGTTGGAGCTGGTTGGAATTGGTTGGATTAGTTGGAGCTGGTTGGACTGGTTGGAATTGGTTAGAGCTGGTTGGATTGTTTGGAATTAGTTAGATTGGTTGGGACTAGTTGGTTGGAGTGTCAGAGAAGCATAAGAGTGTTCCTGATGGGCAGAGTTGACTATGAGACATTTTAAAGTTTGCTCTAAAATGCACCCATATTATCATCCGGATGATCTTATGACAAAGCACTCCCTCCCAATTCCACGGCCCATGCCTGCATGTTTTTATAATCACCTTAGAATCACCCACGACTTATAGTCCAGGACCAGGAAAAAAGAACAGACGCTGCCTTATGGATTCACTTGTCCTAAGCGCAAGTGAAGTGAAGCACTTTATATGACAAATGCACAGCACATGAAATATCAAAATATACTTGTTGAGTAAGCAAATGATTGACTAGAGCAGGTGTTGGAGAACTGGGTCTCCGGAGAGCACAGTAACAGAGGCACGCCCAAACTCAAAAGAATCTATATCATATTCTTGCAGCAAGCTGCAATTATATTTTGACAAAATATATGTCACATCAAATTATACTGATCAATGTTTTCTTGGTTTTGTAGTTTTATTTTAATTCATGTTAGAGTTTCAAGGCTGCATAAGCACTATAAGCATAAAGAGCTTACACCGAATGTCGTGTGTGTTCGTATTTAAGTGCACAAAAAAATGTGATCACCGGGAGTCCGGGGTCTGTATTCAGGTTTGAGAACACCGCCTGTCACGCACGGCTGGCAAACAGGGTATCACTTCTACACTGCGCTTCCCGGGCACACCGTCCTCCAAACCCAACCAGGCGCTGGAAGTAAGCGCCCCAGAGGCTTACCTGCAGGGCAGCGTCCTTCCTCTTGCTGCCCATGGCTCCGCAAGGACAGAAGCCCTGGACTGCAGGCGCAGGCCGGCCCACTCCAGCTTCGCCACAGGACAGCAAAGCGCTGCGCAGATCAGCGAACCTACTTTAGACAAAGCGCACC